CTCTACCCGGCTTTGCGCTCCGAAGGCGGCGGGAGTCGCGTCTGCCCCCGCCGCCGGCAGCTCTCTGGCAGTCGCAACTCACAGTTTCTCCTGCCCCAGCCAGCCCTCGTTCTCTCCCAGCCAGTGCGCCGTGGTTCCCGGGCTGCGGAAATCGTTGGGACGCAACGCAGGCTGGGTTGAAATTCAACTTCTGACCTGCGACCCGGGGCGTCCTGCTCGCTGACTGACTGGGGGAGCAGTGTTTGCTTCCTTCCAAGGACCTCCCCAAGCCGAAGGATGGAATCCTCCCCTATGATCGCGGCCCTCTCCTGTGCACCCGTGCGGGGGTTATACCTGTCCTTGTGTGTTCCAGTTTGCTTTCTGGCTTCCGACGTCCAATTATGGATGCACTGGAGTCCCACGACTCTGCAGCGGAGGACACCTGCTTGTCCTGGTCTGCAGCGGCAGGATTTAGGACCCTGGGCGGCCATTTGGAAATTGTGTACTTAGATGAAAATGATTTAGTCCAATGTGCCTCTAAAAATATTCTTTCTAGCGGATTAAAGTGGACTATGGGGCAAGGCAAAAGAGCATCCTGCTGCGAGTATAGTGGAAAAAAAAAACAGGGAAAACTCAGTGAGGTTTTTAATTTGGAGATTGTGGGTGACTTTAACGCAATCTGTTGGTGCCGAACAGATGTTCTGTGGTGCCTATAGCAACCTTACTTGGGGTGAGTTGAAAAATAAAAATAAAATAAAGTAATTGATTTTATGTTGGGAAATAACAGTTTGCAAACTAGTAAATTAGTAACAGTAGTTTAAACAGGTCAGAAATCTATTGCATAATCCACGATTTCACCCCAATATCATCATCTGCACTAAGCAGGATAAATCCATTGCTTCTAAGAACCGAACAGATGGCAAGCCATTAGAAATTGTGGATTTCCCAAGTATTTCTGTTTTAATGTAATGAGCTCTTATATTGTCCTATTACTAAATCCCAGTCTTTAAACATCCCAAGTAAAACGACTACATTAGGAGAGAATACGAACTCCAAGAAAATTGCATACCTGAGCAATTTTAGATACCACTAGCACTGAAAATATTTCACTTTGGGGGTCTTGCCTTAGCTCTTAAATGCCTGGCTCAGTTGTGGAGAGGAAATGTAATCCGACTAAGATCTATCCTTAAAGTTTTTTTCTTGTTCACAGCCAGACTGTACCTGTCCTTCCCAGTTGTAATTGGGTGTATGGAGTTAGCTCAAGAGGCAAGTTGGGTGGGACTGGGGATGTATCAGAATAAATTCACCAGCAGCTCACTGCCCAGTCTGTGGGTGATTGGCATCATTACTGTGCATAAAATCAATACATATAAACAATTTTCTCCCCACATTTGTAAAATATGATTAATTGATTAATTTCATCATTAAATTGATGAAATAAACTGATGAAAAATTTCCTACAAAAAATAAAAACTTCTTAAAAGAGAGAGCCCAGTAGTACTTACCTGGCTCCTAGATGTGATTCTGATGATCACTCTGGATGAGCTGGTTAGTCCCTTCCAGCATCAGTTTTCCTGCGTGCCACATAAGGAGTTTGGATTAAATAATTCTGCCACTGTGCAGCTTTAACTGTCTATAAATCAATGAATTAAAATTAGGACTCAGTTTCCAGTCACCTACTGGGAGGTTTTCCAGATCACCTCCTTTCCCACCTCTTCCAGGTGTGCTCTGAGGTCACCTACTGCGTATGCCTCATCAAAGCATTTCTCGAACTCTGTTCCAGCTATGTCTTTATTGAACAGAGCTCCTTGAGGGAAGAAGCCATTCCCAAACTCTTCTTTGTATTCTCAGTGCCCGCTATAGTCCCTGATCACAGTAGAACATCAAAAATGAATGTAAACGAGTGTAAGTGAACTAAGGACTGCAATAACTTAAGCGCTGTTAAAATATGGGGATTTCATAGTGAACTGAGTTACGGCTCATAGACTCACATCATTTGGGCCCTGAGGAGAATGGCAGGGAGGACATAAGCCAGGAGTTCTTAACCTTTTTTCCCCCCATGTGCTTGAAGGATTCCCATGGGAACCATAGCTCACTAAGCTGTGATGATTAACCAGCGTGGGTGGGGCCAGGTGGGCAAAGGAGAGAAAGGGAAGAAGATGCTGAATAAAGACTCCCAAGGGCATCTCATCAAGCAAACCTGAATCCATATGTATTCTGCTGGTTCTTTTCTAGAGTCTTCATCTTTCAAACGAAAAACATGAATGAAGCAGTGATAGGTGTTTTCAAGGGTACTCTACTACTTAGTGGTAAATTTTATGCTAAAATCAATTTTTCTTGTTTGATACCTTTTGGCATTATAAACTGATTCATCCAGAATCCTCAGGGCAGAGATTTTAAGCAAACAAATGAAAATTATGGATCGAAATTAGGATGGACTTCTCTCAGAATTCAAGATACTATCTGAAAGTAAGAAACTCAGAAGTCTGCACTAGCTTCTTAGGTCTTGTCTGGGAAGCAAGCCTTTGCTGGAACCAGCCTGGGCTCTGAAAGGACAAACATGAGTGGCTTTAAGTTTTCAGTTCTCTGTGTGTATCCTAAACTCTTTTCTGTCTGCCATTAAGACGTCAGACTAAGCCTGTGGAGGCCTCTGGGTGGCTATGGTGAGAGCAGGTTCCTGTTCACTCTGGCCCCATCTTTGGGATTCATCATTTACTTGTTCAGTGCCTACTACAAGTCAGACCCTACTGTGGGACTGGTATACACTGGTGAGTTAAATAGACATAATCACAGTCTTCATGGTAATTAGAGCCTACAGGGGGCAGGAGGGAGATTAAACACACAGATACACACTCATGCAAACCATTCATTCATTCATTCAATAAATATTCATTTATCACCAACTATATACAAGATGCTACAGGAATATCAGAGACAAAGTTTCTGCTTTTATGGTCCTTAAGAGTCAAGTGGGGGAAACGCAGTAAGTAAGGAATTCATTCATTCATTCAACTAGTAAGTACTGAGTGCCAGCCTTATGGCAAGCACTGTTTTAAGCAATGTGGCAGTCCTAACGAACAAAGCAGATAAAATCTAATGGAGTTTACACCCTAATGAGAGACTCACACACTGAACACATCCATTACAACGATAAGTGCTAGTGAGAAAAACCAAGACTAGATCAAGTAGAGTAACAGGGACCGCTATTTGAAATATGATAGTCAAGGAAGGCCCTTTCTTCTGAGTTGGTGACACTGGAGAAGAGACCTGACAAAAGTGAGGAAGCAAACTTTGCAGGTATCTGGAAGAATGTGCTCTGGAGAAGGGCCTTCACACGTGCATCCTGGGAGCATCAAGAAAGTCAGTGTGAAAATGTGATCCCGGGGAAGAGTGGCACAAGATGGGGTTTGTGAATTGGTTGCTTGGGGACAGGTGATGTAATTTATAATTAAGATTTTAGATTAGTTAAAAATATGCTGGGCTCTGAAAACAATAAACATGACAGGAGGCTAGAGAATAATGGGGAAGGATCTATTTAGATGGCATTGGTCAAGCAACATTTAAACTGAGTTCTGATGTATTAATAAGATCCTGAGGGAAAGCAGTCTGGATAGAGGAAAGAATACACACAAAAGCAGTTCCCCGTGTACGACTTGGCCACCATCCCACGAATACATCCATAACCAAGCAAATGACTGAAAAGAAAAATTACTGAGAAATAGCAACATGCTAAGTGTGCATCTGGGGTAGAAATTTGGTTATAAGTATACGAAGAAAATCTGTAGGCTAAGCTTTTTCCTTCTTATTGCTAGACTAAAACACCATACATTATAATTAGATTTTCAAAGATATACTGAGCATTGTAATTTACACGTCATTATTGAACCCAAGTGGTCATAATATGGGATATGTTCATTTTCAGTCTAATATCTTATATTAGATTATAATACAGAAAGTAGTACCTGTAACTTACCCTTGTGGCAAGAAGATGCTAATAAGGAGATTAAGGGTGGAATCTTCTCTTCCAATATTTAAAATGTTCAGAGTAATTCTTCCCTATACTTTTGCCCAGATTTTAATCTCTAAAACCAG